TTTTACCTATTTTATGACTCACTAATTAATATCAGGCGTTACAACCTACACATTTAAAGACCATAGCTTCTTGCTTGAATTTAGTGCGTGACGGATGTTCAAACAGTAACAATTACTACTACTACTACTACTACAAATACTACAAATACTAATTTTTTTAACGGTTGTTGCTACCAAAAAGCAGAAAAAAAAAAAGAAAAATCGAATTTTATTTCCTGTGTGAATTGTTGTTTCGGTTGTTAGGTGATCAGGAGGTAGAGGAGGTGGAAGAGGAGTTTGATGTTAACGGTCACTTAATAAGGAAATTTTTTTGTTTTTTTTTTTTATATTAAATTAATTATTTTAAATTTTCTTTTTTATATTATTATTATTATTATTATTATAACAGCAACTTTCACTTTTTTGTGGTAAAAATTTAGGATTTTGAATTAGGATAAGTGTTTTGGTGATGAGGGAAATATAGAAAAGACAAATTGTTTGTTGTTGTTGTTGTAATATAAAAATAAATATGATATCAAAGATGTGTCACTTGTAATATTACAAACAAACGATTGTATACGACCACCACCAACGCCAAAAAGAAAAAAGGAGGAGGTGGAGGAGGAGGATAAAATGGCGAATAATATATAATGGATTTTTAATGTTTTTATTTAAATCATCATTTACACAGGTGCGAATTTTTTCTCCGAGGTATAATTTTTCATATTATAAACATTAAATGGCAACACGACGACTACTACAAACAACAAACAACAACAACCAATAATATCGATAGACAATTTTTAAATTCCATTATAATTATTTAACACATTATCATAACTTTGAGACTTCTAAGAGGTTTGTTGCCTTTGTTTAATTAGATTTAATAGTGATGATTTTGTTGCTAATCAATTCGAACGTTTTTTTGTTTGTTTGTTTGTTTGTTATCTTTTATCAGTTGATTTCGAATCGAGTGATTAAAGTTACTTTTTCAGGAGAAAAAGAAAAAAAAGAAAAAAAATTTTTTAAAAATATATTTTAACGTTTATTCATCATCGTTTGTTTGTTTGTTTGATTGGTTCGGGTTTTGAATTGTTTGTTTTTTTTTTTTTTTTTTTTTTTTTTTTTGGTGTGTGTGTACAAATTTCCATATTGGTTTTCGTTTGTATAAGATTTCAATGAAATGATTAACGATTAAAATTTGAGATGAACGGGGGAGAAGGAAGAAGGAGTAGAGAAGCAGTAAGAAACAGTATTCGATCGTACGGTGTCAAAGTCATGGATTCTGCTTCTCTACCATTGAAAAAAAACACGAAACAAACGGAATCGCAGGAAAGCGTGAGCAGGTTTTCGGAAAAATCATTGCATTCCCAATACGATATTCGGGAAGGTAAAAAAGGAAAAGGAATTTACCGGAAAAACCGTAATGGTGATGTGGTTGTGAAGTTCGTTAAAGGTTAAGAAAATAAATTTTATTTTTTTTTAGGTTCGTGCAAGGAAATTGTTTTACGCATACCCTACGGATCCCTGTTCGGTACTTTCCTATGCATTTTGGGACTCGTGTTGGCTATAATCAGTTTCACGAGGATCACGTCCTTGGAAGAAATGATGTATAAAGACGTTTTGAAACGAGATCCGGAACCGTGAGTATTTGGAATAAATGTCATGATAAAGGAGAAATCAACCGGATGTTAACCCTTATTAATTACACTTTCAGAGAACTTGTTCGACAGATATATTCCATCGTCACGTACACGTTGACGGGTGCGTTAGCCATATTGTCATTGATAATTGGATTTTTGTCGACCGGAGACACGAGAGCCGAAGTTCACAATACGTGGAAAGCAAAACTCGGTGGAAGGATAACGTGCGGAATCGTGAGTTAAACGATTTTTTAATTTCCCCCCCCCTCTCCTCCCCCCCTCAAATACACATCATCGAATTTCGATCGAATCGTCGCGATTAATTAAATAATAATAATTATTATTATTATTACACGTAACGAAAACGGAAATTTTTTAATTTTTTTTAATTTTGCGACATCTTTAGGTGAAATTTGAAAATAGAAGACGTACCCCCGTTTTCTCGCTTCTCATTGGTTGCGAAACGCCCGATTGAATTCTGTTGCCACGTTCGTTTTGTGTTTTTGTGCGCACTCGACGAGTTTAACCGTTTTTTTTTCTTATTTTGTTGTAAAATATCTGTGGTGGTTTTTTGTGTATTTCGTTTATATTAAGTTTTACTATTCCGATTTCAGTTGTTGTTCGCATCGTTCGTTCTTCTTTTCTCGTGGCTTATGGGATGCTTTTACACGGGATGGGGATTCAACATGCATCGAATAGATCGTGACAATTGCGATGCATACACGAATGACAAATCAAGATGTCTTCCGATTCCATGTAAGTGTTGCGTTTGAAAGTGTGGTTTATCGTGTATACGTATGGTTTTCATACTCCCCTTTTCGATTACAGTTGAGACGGACAAAAGAAGGAGAGAACTTTGCGATGGTCAAGAGATAAAAAAATTTTGTAAAGACTACACCGAGAAAGCATTGAACAGTTTCGCCATATTTGGATGCGGAAGTTTGTTCGTCACGATCAGCATGGTATACTTATATATATGTATAAAGTGTGTTCGCCTCTTACTGCGTTGTATTTATTTATTCGTTTGAATTTATTACGTTTCAGTCAATTTTCATTTGTTGTTTGGCCGCGAATTACACGATGATACGTTTGGAATCCAAACTCCAAGAATTGGAAGAACTCGGACCTCGGAGGTTCTAGGATACGGCCCAAGGAATCTATCGGGAAAAAATTTTCCGGAGATCTACGAACGGGATTCGTAAAACTTTGGAAAAAAACGGACACGCGAATACGGAATCCGATCAAATTTATTATTTGAACGAAAGACTCGAATGCGAATCCACCGTTTAGTAAAAGGATCGAGAAGAAAAAGACAAAACAAAACAAAACAACTTGCCACCGCCTTGTCAAAAAACGAGAGACTGAAAAAAAAAAAGGCGCGCCAAGTTTAAATGACGTATCGTTTGAAAAAATAAAAAAGCATTTAATCCGTCCAATTTAAAAATCAATGTTCAATTATTATTATTATTATCATTATTATTATTATCGATAAGATTAGTTGTTATTTTCGTATTATTTATTAGCGTATCGAAAAGAAGAAAAAAATGAATTTTATTAGGTTGATCGTTTAAAATTCGCGAATCTCTTACATCAAATGAAAATTCGAAAGAGTTTAAATCATAATAATAGTAATAATAATAATAATAATAGTAATGATGATGATGATGATAATGAGCGTTAATAATAATTATTATTATTATTGTTATTATTATCACCACCGTCAATTATCGGGGCTCAAATTGATTTTTTTTTTTTTACTCTCGATTGATTCCTTGGAATTTACAAAGAAAAGAAAGAGAGAGATGCTTTCTCTCTCTCTCACTCTCTCCCCCTTTTTTCCACTCCCGGAAGGAAGGAAGGAAGAAAGGAATAAACCGCGAAAAAAAAAAAAGTGAAAAAAATGTCAATTAATTTTTTATATTATTATTTTTTTATTTTTTTACGTATAAAATGGTATTAAACGCACGCACACGTTTGAACGAGACACGTGTGTGTGTGCGTGCGTGCACGTGCATTCCATATCACAATTTGTAAATACATACATCGATTTATACATAAATATATATATATATATATATATTATAGATAATAAATATATTTTGATACGCATTTTTTTTTTTTATATTATATTATAATAATGTATACACGTATATATATATATATATTTATAATAATATTAAAATATTATTTTAATATATAAGTAATTTAATATTTGTAAGAGGAAAAAAAATAAAAACTTAATTATTATTATTATTATTATTATTATTTATTTTAAGTTTTTTTTTTTTTTTTTTTTTCAATATGGAATATACAAACACAGAGTGCGGTGGAAATTGATCATAATGATGATGATGTTGTTGTTGTTGTACTTTGAAAAAAAAAAAAACGTGGCAGCAAATAAATTGACATCGTTTCTAATATAATATTATTATCATCATCATCGGTCAACATAACATAAACACGCACTCACGATGATGTAATAATAATAATAATAATAAATTTAGTATATTATTTTTTAAGGTTAAAATTAAGATAGATATTTAAGAAAATGGGTAATTAATTAATTATTATTAAATTTTTATTATTGTTATTACTAATGATAATAATGATTGTTGTTGTTTTTCATCTTCTTGGGGATGATGATGATGATGGGGATGATGGCGGGGAGCAGTCGATTATAAAACGTTACCCTCATTAACATTTATCGGATGTTTCCTGTGGTTTTTTTCATTAATATTATTATTAGTTGCAGTAACGTTACAAATCATAATGGAAAGTTTTATATTTAAAAAAGTGTTGGATAGAGAAGATGAATTTAAAGTGTGAGTACATAAATAATCAATTAATAATAATAATAATAATAACAACAACTTTTTTTTTTTCATATTTATTTAATTTATTTATTTTTTCAGGGAAGCCCATTACGTATTCGATATATTATTTTCAATAATAATAAGCGTATTAGTTGTCGTATGTAAAATCCAAGCTTATTCATGTCGTTATAAAGGAATAGATGAACTTGAAAATACATTTGAAAAAAAAGTTAACGGAAAAGGCGGAAGCATATTCGTAAGGTTCAATAAAAAAAAAAAAAAAAAAAAATTTCCAATTGATTAATAATAATGATATTGTTGCGATTATGATGACGTATTCATCCCCCTCCCCCCCCTCTCCCAACAGATATATTGCTTATTGGCATTAGCTTATTCGGTATGGTTTGGTTATATATTTCGAAGAGTTTACACAATCGGAAAGGATTATTATTATTATAGAAAAATAATATCCGTCACTTCGAGGTGTTTTCAATCTCCATGTGAGTATATAATTAATAATAATAATAATAATAATATTTTCTCTCTCTCTCTCTCTCTCTAAATCGGTTAAATTTTTTTTTTTTTTTTTTTCCGACAGGGCCGAACTATTTAAACATTCACACAATTTGCAGGAAAACGGAATTTAAAACGTATTTGTTAATTTATTTCTACGGTGAAATAATGGAAATATTTTCACTGTCGTTCATGTTATTCGGATTGGTAATAGTAATCATAATAATTAAAAGAAACATAAGTCACGTGATTGATTATTAATTTTTAATTTTTTTTTCTTCCCCCCCCTTCCCCCCCGCTTCCCATTCATTTTTAGAATTTCATATTGGTAGCCGTGACGATAAATTATACGAAAATAAGAAAAGAACATCACCAACCCCCGACTCGTAATAGATTTTGAATAATAATAATAATGATAATGATAATAATAATGATGATGAATAATTGTCATCGATTAAAGTGATTGGATCGTCGTCTGCTACGAGAAAACACGTGGTGTCGTGCCGTGGAAAAAGATTACAAATGGAAAAATGATTAAGTAAGTAAAAATTTTATTATTATTATTATTATTATTATTATTATTTTTGACGGTAGTTGGACACGTGACGTGACGACATTTTTATCATGACATTTATATGCCCCGTAAAAATTATTTCGCTTAGGTGTGAAAATATTTATGTGTGATAACGAAAGTTCTGGAAAATCCAAAAAAAAAAAATTTTCACTTTTCTTATTCATTTTCTTTCGTATACATTTAATTCGATAAGATAAACAAAATATTTCTCACTCTAGGTGAATTATAACCGTTATTATCAATTTACTTATTTTAAGGATTAGTTTCAATTAATTAATTTTTTGATAATGATAATGATAATGATAATGATAATTGACGTGAATGAGTTTCTAATATTCAATATTAATTAATTTTTTAATTTGTGTTTATTATACATTTCGTTAAATTCTTTCAATGTGTAACCTCCGATATTTTCTGTTTCTTTGATCATGTGTCTATATGGTTGTTCGATCCTAAAAAAAAAAATAAGATAATTATTATTATTATTATTATGAGGAAAAAGAGAGAGAGAGAGAGAGGGGAATAAGGGGAAAAAAGAAAGAGAGGGAAAGAGGGAGGGAGAAAAAGAAAGGAAGAGAATGAGAGAGAGTGAAAGAAAGAGAATAAGAATGAGAATGAGAGAGAGAGAGAGAGAGAGAGAGAGAGAGAAATAAAAAAAGAGTGAGAAAAAGAGAAAGAAAGATTGAAAGAAAGGGAATGAAAGAGAGAAAGAAAGGTAGAGAAAAAGAAAGAAAGAAAGGGAGAAAAAAAGAAAGAATGAAAGAAAGAGGAAGAGATAGAAAAAGAAAGAAAGAATGAAAGAAAGAGGGAGGGATAGAAAAAGAAAGAAAGAATGAGAGAAAGGGAATGAGAAAAAAAAGGAAGAGGGAGAGAAAAAAAAAAGAGAAAGAGATAGAGGAAGAAAAAGAGACAAAGAGAAAGAAAGAAAGTAAGAGAAAAGAGAATGAGAGAAAGAAAGAAGGAGAGAGGAAGGGAGAAAAAGGGAGAGAAAGAGAAAGAAAGGAAAAGTGAATGAATGAGAGAAATAGAAAGAAAGAAAGTAAGAGAATGGGAGAGAGAGGAAGAAATAAAAGAAAGAAAAATAAAATGAGAGAGAGAGAGAGAAAAAAAGAAGGAATGAAAGAAAGAGAAAGAAAGAGAATGAGAGAGAGAAAAAAAGAAGGAATGAAAGGAAAAAAGAGAAAGAAAGATTGAAAGAAAGGGAATGAAAGACAGAAAGAGGGAGAGAAAGAAAGAGAGAGGAAGGAAGAGAAAGAGAGAGAGAGAGACAGAGATATGTTTTTTAAATTTAAATTTAAAAAAAAAAAAAAGATCGATCGATTGGATTTTACTAACCAATTTTTCAATATTTTTTCAACGTAATCATATTTAGAATTCAATTCGTGCGTTTTGCATAAAGTTTTCTTTAATATTTTTTTCGATTCATTAAAAATTTTCTCACGACGTTTATACGAATCATCGGATGAGTTTAACGAAGA